AACCCTGTTCGTTCGAGACACGGTGATACCGGTTGCCACATCTTATTGGTTACCATTATCAATTTAATGAAAGGAATATTCGTAAAGACGTTGATTTTGCAATTGTTGTTAAATAATGTCCCCTGAAAATGAATCCCACTCGATCCGACACGTCGGGCATTTGTTTACTAAAATTTATGTGGGAATTATTCCTTTAGAGGTTTCGGCGTAAAGTGCAAGAACAAAAAATAAATATTTAATATAGGTTAAGGATTATGCGAAGTTTCTTTCGGCTAAATAGTTGAACACCAAAATGTTGGAAAATATGTTTTTATGTTTAATTACTAACATGACAATTGCTCTGTCGTAATAAAGTAAGTTGCTAAAGATATGACCTCATTTTCAGACTTGTTTATGATTCAACGTTAACGGTAAAGAAATTCATGTGCTGCTCCTTCGCCTGTTGGCACGTTGTCAACAATAGTTTCAGCAACGGTTGATTCGAAATCCAATTACATTCTAATCAACCATGACCTTGAAATACAGCGGGAAACAGTTTCATTCAAGAGAGTGATAGGTAAAGGCTTATTATGCGGTGATCCCGTACCGACGTTTTTTGGTGCATTATGACACCTCTCATCTTTTGGACAAGATATTTGGTATTTTCTTACCATGGTCATGAAACTGTAAGCAAAAGTCTTTATTCCTTATTCCTGTGGTTGGAGCCTGAATATCTGCGATTTTTCCACATGACCACCGACCCGTATGACCACCAATTTTTCCGTTTTTCTTATGAACAACAGGTTCAATTTTCCTAGATAATCGGTGCCATTTTAAGGTAAAACTCAGAGGTAGTAACAACGCTAACAATTCTTCATGCAGGTGGGCTGTTCGTCAGGGTACTGCGACCTCGCCATTATCCGCTCACTCCTTAAACCACCCATCGTTGTCTGATATCTTTCGTACAATTAGTCAATTCATATGCATTGTATAAACAGTATTATTATACACGTAGGTCATCATAATTAAATACTGCCGCAGTCGTGTGATCGACACGTTCGTATCTTCAACCAGAGGTTCAAGTTCCGCATGATTTGATCGAAAGCTCGCTTAGGTCTCGTTCCTTTTTCTCTGCTGCTGGGTACCGTGTGAACATGGTCCTCTGTAACGAATCAGGTATCAATAATCTGAAAAGCTTAGAGTTCAAGCGTTATTCCGCTTAGTTGACGGTGATGACAGCAAGACATGATAGAGCACCAGATAGGACTTTGTTAGCGCAATATTTGCTTACAATGTGGTCACTCTCAAGTCGAATATTATGAATTAGTGAAGATTCTAAGTCTTGAAGTTTCGGGCGGACTGGAACTGTAAAGGGATAAATGAGGGATCGCCAGGCCCTAATTTGGCATGAAGAGCAAAATAGCCATTGTGACATAAAAAGACGTCTTCCTTCTTTAGGAGATGACCCATTCATCATGTGATTTTTGACCATTTGTTTGCCCATGTTTTTCCAAGTTATTCGCTTCACTCGTCCCGCGTTGTTGTCCCGTTTTGCGCTCCCCTACCGCTGCTGCACGCCTTTGTTCACTGATTGAGTCCGTAAGATTTTTCGATAAGCTTTGAAAAGTAAACTTTGCAAGTTACCCTTAATCTTTGCCGTCTCGTCGTTTCAAATCGAACCTAGAAAAACCGGAACCAGGAACAACAGTCGAGTGACGGCAACAAGTTTTTGAAGTTATTTTTTTTCGAACGGCTCTAAACTCATTTTCTAAAGAAACCTTCACATGAGAAAATGACACTCAAAACCGGTCGGCAGGGACAGGGGGAACTTTCGTGGTTCGGGCAACGAAAATTGAGCTACGTTGATGATCAGCATTAATGACCGTAGATTTCTAATGAACAAGTGTGCAGCTGACCTCAGAGATGTCAGGCGAAGGTGGTCGAACAAGTTTTGCCTTGGCCATACGGGTGATGCTGAAGTCGTAGAGGTCGCTGTTCATAGCGATCAATTCAATCATATTAGAGGGGACCATGTGAATGACTATGCTTTGTGCAGAACATAGGTGATATGGCGATTTCGACCAGCAGTATTGTGCTCTTGCAATAGATTCAATGGCACTAACTTTCGGCATCGAGGACCTCATGGTTCGCTTAGGAGCGTTGAACTGAACTGTGCGAAGGGACGTCCAGAATTGAGTATGTTCAATGAAGCCAATTCAGCTCAAGAGGATCAGTCATTTCCAACGGATGGAATGTCCACCAGAAGAAATAAATTAATAAACAGCGTAATAAACATATTAATAAACTGATTAAACTCTGATTTATCAACAGGTGCAGGAAGATGATCATTCGACGGTGTCCATTTGCATCTACCTCACCCTGACAAGCAGACTGGGACTGTGTTCACTAGTACTCGTTAGCTCACAGTTGTGATCATAAATGCAGTGTCCCATCGCTTTAAGGTTGCCTGAAAAATCCCCTTGTATGGGAAGTTCAGTTCAGTGCTGAACCCATTTCTGTTCTATGTAGCGACAGACTCCATAACTAAAGATCTGCACCATCATTCTGCATGCTCTATAGAGATGACGTGGTGAAAGTTCTGAGCAGTGAAAGCAGAGGTTACATTCGAAGGTCAGTTCGAGGCATGAAGAAAAGTCCTTAGGAAAAAACGGCTTTTGGCGGAGGAAGATAATTCTGAGTACACAGTGGGCAGTTTCAGCGGGGAGTCCAGAGAAAGCCTAACATATCTCTGAAGGTAGCGAAGAGTATATTGCTTCAATAGCAAGAATTGAAGCTTAGTTGTTCCACCTTTCATGACAAAAATTATGGTAAAATCGACAGTTAGTTATGAAATTGGTCGTTGAAAGCGTGATTCAGACGGAAGGAAGT